TCCTAATGTGTCGGAAAATAGCAATGCAGTTTCGTGTTCGTGCCTATTAAAGGGTTAATGCACGTGCCGTCTGTGTGCGCTGCATTCCATAGCAGACTCTTACATCAAAGGACGTCTACTCTTGTAAAATATACTTAAAGTGGTGGTATCTGAAGAGAAATTTACATTTAGATCAGGGTATTAGCGCAGAATGTATTATCGTTAGTGGCGCTGAAAGAGCAGTTGTGAAGACGCGTTCAACAGATGGGCGACTGCTCTTCCTCACAGCCGCAGACCTGTACGGACAAATCTTGCTTTGATTCATTAGCATAAAGTCTGGTCGGGAATGTTAATTGAAAGACAGCTGCATTGGCTTATTGACTAAACGATTATCAGTATGTCGGTTATTGATATAAACTGAATTCTATTTTAAGTTGCGCCGTTAAAGGCAACTACAGCGGGCGCCAAATCACAGTTGTATCACCTTCAAATAACGCTACAGTCGCGCGGTGACAGTAGAGACGGTATTTAAACGTCGATATGAACACAATGACGAAACCCCAAAAGAACATACAGCTGTAGGGGAAAACGGACGCAACCTTCAACATAATGTTTCTACTTATAGTTTTCCAGTGAGACGTACACTGGTTGATCATATCACTCAAGGCAAGCTCACCATGAACGTGGTCTGATTGGTATAAAAATAAATTTTCTCTGTAAGTTTATGGTCGAGGCATGAATAGGAAAGGCAACAGAGACCTTGATCCTGAAAGCATTTCTGTTCTGAATGCTGCTTATAAGGATAATAGGCTACACTTGATTCTGAAGAGAAAAAAAAAAAGAGATTTGGTTCAAATTCACAGACGATACTTTTGCATAGGCAATTCCAACTTAAAAGGACCATTAAGTAAATGTATTCAGAGTGGTCGGTCTATGATAATACGCTATTCTTTTTAGACCATTCAAATGCACAGATTGCGAAGCAACGCAATAACAGTTATAACATATAGATATTAAAAATATATATATAAGCACTGTCATACCTTGTCTCTGTCAGCAGTAGTTATTCTATATTCCCCGATTTGTTCCGTAGATGCAAATACAATTTGCCATCCATGACACGTCTCAGTTTGAGATTGAGTATCTTTTACCAAAATCTACCCCCGCAAAAAACGAATCCGATAATTTTCAGAGGATGAGAAAATAAAAAAACTGAAAAGGGCAGATACTAAATAACATTAGAATAGAAGGGGAGAAACAATAAACCGAATCAAAGAAAAAAGAAGCGAAAACAAAGAAGGGACACAAGAAAAGTGCGATAAAAAATCAAATGCGGTAGAAAACGAATTGACTTTAGTTCACAAACAGGGCTCCAGTAATTCCACGCTGCGTCTCTGTATTCCAAACGCACAGTGCGCTCTGCAACGGGGAACGCCGATCTATCCGTTTATTCCCAATCTGCTGCGGTTATACTTCCAGGACTTCAATTTGCAGTAGCATCACTTACACCTGAGCGTTCGTGTGAAAATACATTTGCCTTCTCTCCCTTTCGGCTTCGGCAGAACCCTTTCCATGCATTGGCATCCGAGCTCTCGGTAAAGAACCGCCGCACTCAGTCAAGCGTCTGGATGCCCGCATTCACTGTAGCAACGAGGAGGATAGAGGCGCGTTCACGCTCTTCTTTCTCAAGGGAGTTGGACGCGCGCGCTGTTCACGTACGTCAGCCGGCGCGTGCTCCAAATAGAACGCTGGGGAAGTTCGTTTCGAATTCTTCGATTTCGCAGCTCCGAATATGATATTACGTCATTATGCATTGGGTTTTTGCTTCCTTTCTGCCTGCAGGTATTGTGTAATTCTATTACCTATTATGTTATTTACTCAGTATGGTATTATCTTACTTAAAATATTATGTATAATCATGAAAGTAATCAATATGCTAATCAATATGTTTAGTTATTCTCAATACTGGATGTCTTAATGAGGATTGTATGTATGAGGGCCTTTCCATTGGGCAGTACCGGTGGTTTCCATTGGATTGTACCAGTGAACTTAAATAACCTAATGAACTCTGGGTGATTTCCAGAAGTTGACAGGAACAAGTAAACAGATTTGATGGATGTCCCATGGGACCACCGCCAACCAATGGGAAGCGGCAAAATTAAAGTTTTTAAAAAATGGTTGATTTGGCCAAATTCCACCATTAAAAAATGGACCAGGTGGGCTAGTAATAAATTGTGGCAAACCAGACAGGCATAACCAATAAAAAACCGGAACTACCAACTTTGGTAAGGGAAAAAGGTATAAAATGTATGCGCGGACAGACAGAGACTTTAGATGCGGTTACCGTTATCTCGGCTTTGTTACTTTGTTTAATAAAGTCTTATTTTAACATCTGGAACTCTGCTTCTCGAGCTTCATTGACTACATTGAAGAAATGTATCATTGGCTCCGCGACACAACACAGGTTGGAAGTGTTGTCAAAATGAGAATGAAGTGAGTAGACAACTTGACACCAAATGAACCAAACACAAGTATATGACTTGTGCTAAATTTCACACCCCCCAGTTTTTTCATGGTCTAAATGTTTCATGGGTACAATCGTTTTTGAAGCTATGCATGGACTGTTTGACAAACTGGGGTAGGCTATCGAAGAGACACCAACCATATGATTAAATGTGTTGAAGCATTAAAAATATTGAAGCAGCACTTTGCAAGTTACAAAACTCAGCACTCTGGCATGGAATGATACAGACTTTTATGTCCGCGAAGTAAATTCAGTTGGTGCATCAGTCAGCATAAATTGGTCTGTATAATAACGAGTATGTCTTAAGCAAAATCAGACTCTTTCATGTTGTACTGAATATTTTATGATCTGGGTGAATCATGATCATATTTGAATCCACAGTTACTGTTTATTTACTTAAATGAACTGATTACAAAAGCAAGTATGAGTAAGTTAAACTACAAAAAGGGACGGGAGAAACTGCCATGGAATCAACATGGCTGCTGCAAAACAGGAAAGCCTGGCCTAAAAGAGCCAATCATTTAGCAAGTTTGTTGTCTGTAATTGTAGGGCTATTCCCAAGTTACCTGATGATTTACCTGGCTTGAACTTTGGTCTCCTTCATATGTTTCTTGTAGCCAGATAAAAGTCTATTTTGGTTAAAAAAAAAAAAAAAAAAATCTGCCTTATATAATGTTTCTAGATCACTGAAATTCATAGGTTGTCTTGGATGTACTGCCTGTTTAAAATCTTCCTGGAGATATCAATAATATTGAAGTCCATTCCAAAACCTTCATATTTTATTTCTTGAAGTAGCATACTGGTAGAAGGGGAGATCGAGGCGAGCTAGGGCGGCGACGCGAGCGGCAATTTCCATAGCCGCGGGGGGGAAGAACCAGGAAACAAAAACTTTCAAAAAAGGGGAAAAACAAGCGCGAGGAGAAGTCGCCGCTCTCTTTCAGTTTTGGGTCCGCTGTTCTGTCACGATGCACACACACGAGGAACGAGGAGACGCTGGAGAATACTTTACCAAGACTTTATTTACAGGAACCAAGGGAGACGAACTCAGGAAGACGTTTAACAGCGGACAGAGAACTTGGGACTGGGAACACTATTTATACACACAGGAGGAGGGGATGACGAGACACACCTGGGAGCAATGAAACATCAAGTAATCAGGGGAGGAACAGGAAACTAACCAAATAAGGGCATGGGAAGGCACATGGGGAGCAGGACACACACAAAACATGGAACAGAGTCTGACAATAGTAGTAGTATGGTTGATTTTGGTTGGGGATTGCAGTCTGTATATTTTTATTTTTTTTATGTTTCCCCCTATGAGACATTACTTTTTGTGATTTAATTATACTTTGTAGAATTCTTTCTTCTGCTGCTGGCATGTGGTACATGTGGTTATTGTAGCCAAATGTTATATATTCATTTTATCTGATCTGACAACGCTATCTCACGACCAATTCGTATGTATTTTACAAGGTGGCTAATTCGTATGACCTCACTCGTACGATTTTGTACGATTTGTCTAGACCCCAGTGACGGGTAGGTTTAGGGGCGGGGTTAGGTGTTGGTCATTCATACAAATTCATACGAATTGTGCAACTCGTAAAATACATACAATTTAGCAAAAATCGTATGAATTTGTACGAGCGTTAAATTATAATTTTATCTGATCCAACCAGAACACTTGGTTCAACAACTAAATATTTAAAATATTCAAAATTCAACAGCAACAAACATTTGTTTATTTAGAATTTAATCTCCACCTCCACTTTACTTTTGTGTGCAGCATTTAGTGCACCACTTTAATAAGTGCTTGTGGGGGGATCACTCTGAACTTGAAAAGGACAAAGTAAACAAGTATTCATGTATATTATTTTTTATTATTATCATTATCCGCTTGTTAAGTCTGACGTCAAGTGTCACCGCTTCCGTGTCCAAACGCGCTATCAGATACCACGAGAAAACAACAAAAGGTGCTAATATAAACTCACAATGTGATATATTACTACCAAAAAAATTATAACCCTAACCTTTAACTCCATACCGAAATCCCAGATAGCCAGACAATGAAAATATAAATATAAATAAATAAATATACAAATGATTTGTGTTTGGGACGCTGTGAGCATGGAGACTGTAGTGTAGACCGTAAGTTTGAAAACGTTTAGCTTAAATGTTTAATATGAATAAACAGTGCTCATAAACGGCTGCTGAGGTAGTATTCTCAAGTGAAGCGAGTTGAGGCTTGGACCCGGAAACAGCGCTTCTTACGTCACCACTTGACAACCGAATTATTATTGTTGTTGTTGTTTATAAATTATCTGTGCACATCATTATTATTATTTTTTTTTAATTCATGTGCTCTTTAATCAAAATAATTTCCCCTCCCTCTTGCAATGAAATCTCATCTTTTCTCTGATGATATGTATCCCAGCGTGAGGGCGGGACAACCTTTCACTCACTCGAGATTAGGGCTGTCAAAAAAATGTAAATTTGAATATAATTCGAATATTGATAATATTTAAGTAAAAAAAATTCGAATTTAGTTTTTCAGCCATTTTGACAGCCCTACTCGAGATTGCAGCAATAGTAAACGACAAAGATCCAATGATCCAATTAATTACTGATGAACCAAATTGAATCCTGCCCTACATTTTTTTTTCGAGAAGCCACTTTACTCGTATAGGAAAGAAAAGACGATCGCAACTTAAACAATCGTTTAATGCCAGCTTTAACTCTTTGTAACTTTTTACTGTAACTTTATAGTATTTTTACTGGGCCCTTGTGGAGGCACCACTGTCACCAACATGGGGTCTATTAACTGCTTCAATCATCTGGATTCTGTCAGACTAGGTGAATAGAGGTTGTGTTTTTGTGCTTTGCCACTGCCTGTGTAACGTGCATCACGTCAAACAATGGTTGAGTAATTTGCACCATTATTTACTGCTGCTTCATAAAAGCCTATATTCCAAAAGTTTGTGTTGATGAATTGTTGATGTCAGCAGATTTCGCCATATTTACTGCTGAGCTTTTGCCCATACACGTGTTGTATTTTGTACATTACGTGTTTTGTAAAGAGATTGCAGGTTAGGTTTCCTTCTGACGAGCCTTCCATGTATATCATGTTTGTGCCAATAACGGTCCACAGTGGACTGATTCACCACTACAACACTACTCTCTGCTAAATCTTCCTGAAAGTTTTTTGCAGCCATATGGGGGTTGTAGTTTCAATCCCAGACCAGTCTAGTTTTATTTCAGTTTTTTTTTTTTTCTTGGTCTTCAGATCTTGCCTTGATTTTTTTCCCTAACTTATATTTCTCAATGACATCTTAGATTTTGCACATTGCAAATACCAAGCGTCTCCATATCTTTTCATAACATTCCCCTTGCTTTATAAGACTCAATTATCTTTTTTTTCTGATTCTCAGTCAGCTGTTTAGAGAAGCCTGTGGCTGTTGAGTGTAAACACCTTGAGAGGTTTGAAGAGTGAGATAATTATTATATAAGCTTTGGAACTGTCATCACCTCACTTACATCAAGGCCTTACATTTTCAGAGAATTAACCTAGCCCTAAGAGGTTAACCCTAACCCTAAGGGTGACAAAACCTTTGCACACTAACTTTTTTTTTTAGCAGTTACATTTAATAAATAAAAATGAACCATGCTTTGCAGAAATATATCAAGTTTAAATTTTGTTTTTGTTTGTTTAAATTTTGTTGCTGAGTTTATGTAAGCTTATTTTCGGTAAGAGCTTCAATGGAACATGTTACTTGGTAAAGAATGCGCAAATAGCTTATAAGAGGACACATGAAAACTAAATATGCATATGACAGACTGTGCAATTCATACAGTTTGTTTGAACTGCCTTCCCTCAGCTTGTAAGTCGATTTAAATGTATATTAAAGTTTCTTAAAAATGCAATAGGTGTGAAGATTAAAAAAAAAAATGTTCAGCCCTTTTACCAGCTATATGTACATGTGTATATGTACATAAGAATAAATGTTAGAGAGATGCAGAGCGTGTGCAGAGCAGGGGGACGCGAGGAACAGTATTAAGAACCGCTGTTTTAGAACATTGATTTTGAATCTTGTCAATCCATTAGAATCGTTAGAAGACAACATCGGGATTCATATATGAACAGATTTTTACGTGCACCTCTAGTTTTCTCTTCCTCTTCTCTAAAGCAGCG